GCTATGAGAGCATCAACAAGTGCTTCTTCACAACTCGGAAGACAAAGTATGTAATCAACTGCCAAACATAACTAATGTAAAAAGTATTTAGAATTAACTATAAAAAGTTTTAAAATTATAAATATAAAAATACTACTTTTAACTAAATTATCATTTTTATGCTATTCTACTTTTTGATTAACTCTGGTGTTCAATCACTTCTTGCCACTATATTTTCACAACAGAGCTTTTTAAGTGAATTTTTTTTCAATTTATTACATAATTTTTAGCTAATCAGAAACAGTTGAAGTATGTTAGAAGAATGATAGAGTTTTTTTTTTAAAGTATAATCGATTTTCTTTAATTATAGCTTTTTCATACAACTTCATCATGAACCTTTAGATCAATTTTTGTAAAAAAATATTTTTAAAGACCCCTAAAAATCATATGCTTTTCAATAATGTAAAACATTTTACACCTAGGACTTTTACTTTAAAAGATATTTATGACTCTTTAAAAAGTTTTTTTTTTTTTGGCTGTGCCAAATTTAATAGAAAAGAATCATAAATAAAAGAATAGTTAATAATCCTAAAATAAAAAACCAACCTGTCCACATGTGGAAAACTTAGACCATGCAATACGTTGTGCAACTACAGGAAAATTGGAGGTGCTATCCACAATTGCTGGACTATTAAAAATATAAAATTTATAATAATAACTGATATTAGGGTATGATATAGGGTATCCCCACAAAAACAACAATTTAAAAAAAAGCCTATGCAGACTACTTAAGTGTGCTACGTATAATAAAAAAAGAATGGATTTAAAAAATTTCTAAGTAAAAGTTATTTTTAGGGGTTCCCCAAGATTCTTTAATATTTAATGAGTCCCTAATATTAATTAAAAGTATGACATGTTAGGTCTCAAATGAAGTGAAATCATACAAAAGTTTCAAAAAATCTTTTTATAAGAATATTGCAATTTTAGATTTTACTGCATAAATGACATTTCTCAACTAAAAATTAAAAATTTTACAAGTTTTTTTAATGATAACATTTTTCTTTGATGTTTTTTATGAAAAGATTGAACACTATCTATAACTTATAATTTTTGTAATTTTTCATTATAATTTTTGTAATTTTATATAATTTTGCTTTATTTTAGAGCCAACATGAAATACTTTCAAAAAAAAAAAATTATAGTATAAGGGATCTGTTAAATGTTCAAATAAAATAACAGAATAACTATTTTATCATATTTTTATTTTTATTTTATATATTAGAAATTTAGGTAGTCTGAATAAGGATTTAAAAAACTATTGCTTTTTGGGACCTCAATACACTAAACACATAAAGTAAATAAAGTATACACAAAGTTTAAAACTATCCCCCAAATCAGTGCCCACCATCCATAGACTGTACCACCAACACACACTGTATGCTTTATATGCTTTCTATATTTATATATATATACACTATAGCATTTATATAAACATTTGCTTAGGGATTGTCCATAAATTACGTCACGCATTTTCGACAGATTTTGACCTCCCCCCTCCCCCTCGTCACAAAATCGTAACACTTAAGAAGCAAGTTTTGTATGAGTCGTCACAAAACTACCAACTCCCTCCTTCCCCTTATAGCGTGACGTAATTTATGGACAATCCCTTACTAATTTTTCTTGTTTTTATAGAATATGACCTTCTCATGAAATAACAAAAAAAAACAAAGAATAATGAAAGAAATTGCTGCCCCATGCAAAACCCTCAAAGTGCTGCTACATCAACTGATAAATAAGGAGAACATGCGAGGAGTACTGCTACATAGACTAACTTATCTATCTTCTTCTGATATATTTATGCATCTTATATTATGAAGCTTTGTAATTAAACTTTATTAATTTTTTTTTCAATTTAGACTAATCAAGAACTAAAAAAATATTATTTTTTAATGTTACAAAGTTTTTTATTAGTTTTAAGGTATGTTATTAATTTGTTAAGGTAAAGTGGTAATTTGTAAAAAAATAAATAAAATAAATAAATAGTTTGGTAACTAATAAATTTGTCTATCAATAAGTAACATTATTTTGTAAACTACAATCCATACAAAATTATTGAAAAAACAAGTTGATACTAAATATAAAGTGATTGCTTTTTATTAGCAAGTATGGAGTAACTTGATACAGCATTTGTGGGTGGCCCTAAAACTGTAGAATAATACTCCATTGTGTCATAAACAATTCTTTAAATCATTTCTTTTAATATTTACAGTTAATTTTTAAGAGTAAATATAATACTAGGATATCCAATTTCAATACAAAGTCATTATTTATTGTTGCTTAAGAATGACATTTAAAACGATATATTATCTGAATTTCTAAAATGCGATTTAGACCATTGGATACATTATTTGGATTATGACTATTAATATGTTTGTCATTCAAGTAAAAATCTGCCTTTTCTTTAAGTTTTATCCTTTTTATTTACTTTTTTAATGATGTCCAAAATTTGTATCAAAGTACC